GCTCAGCTAAACACCTTGAGAGGTAGTAGGTACCTCAACCAACCACCTTGAGAAGTAACAAGTAGCTCAGCCAATCTACTTAAATGGTAGGATAGTAGCCCAGCCAACCACCTTGAGAAGTAACAAGTAGCTCAGCCAAACTACTTAAGGGCTAGGAAAGAAGCCCAGTCAACCACCTTGAGAAGTAACAAGTAGCTCAGCCAACCTACTTAAGGGCTAGGAAAGAAGCCCAGTCAACCACCTTGAAGGGTAGCGAGTAGCTCACACAACCACACTGAGGGTTAAAAAAGAGCTCAGTCAGCCACTTTGAGGTGTAGCAAGAAGCCCAGGCAACCACCTTGTGGGTTAGCAAGTAGCTCAGCTAATCACCTTGAGTGATAACAAGTAGCTCAGCCAACCTACTTAAGGGCTAGGAAAGTAGCCCAGTCAACCACCTTGAGAAGTAACAAGTAGCTCAGCCAACCTACTTAAGGGCTAGGAAAGAAGCCCAGTCAACCACCTTGAAGGGTAGCGAGTAGCTCACACAACCACACTGAGGGTTAAAAAAGAGCTCAGTCAGCCACTTTGAGGTGTAGCAAGAAGCCCAGGCAACCACCTTGTGGGTTAGCAAGTAGCTCAGCTAATCACCTTGAGTGATAACAAGTTGCTCGGGTAAGCTACTTGAAGGGGTAACAAGTAGCTCAGCCAACGACCTTGAGGTGTAGCTTCTCAACTTGAGGGGTAGCAGATAGCTGAATCAATCACCTTGAGAGCGAGCAAGTACCTCAGCCAAGCACCTCGAGAAGTAACAAGTAGCTCAGCCAACCTACTTGAGGGCTAAGCAAGTAGCACAGCCAACCACCTTGAGGGGTAACAAGTACCTCAACCAAACTATTTGAGGGGTAGCAAGCAGCTCAGTCGACCACCTTGATGTGTAAGAAGTAGCTAAGCCATCCACCTTGAAGTGTAACAAGTACCTCAGTTAACCTAATTGGGGGGTAGCAAGTAGCTCATCCAATCACACTGAGGTGTAGAAAAAAAGCCCAGTCAATCATTTTGAGGAGTAGCAAGAAGCTCAGCCAACCGTCTTGAGGGTTAGCAAAAAGCTCAGCCAGCCACCTCGACGGGTAGCAAGTAGCTCAGCTAACCACCTTGAGTGATAACAAAATGCTCAGCTAAACTACTTGAGGGGGAGCAAGTAGCTCGGCCAACCACCTTGAGGGGTGAAAAACAGCTCAACCAACCACCTTGAGGGGTAAAAAGTAGCTCAGCCAACCTACTTGAGGGTTAGCAACAAGCTAAGTCAACCACCTCGAGGGGTAGCAAGTAGCTCAGCTCACCACCTTGAGTGATAACAAGTTGGTCAGCTAACCTACTTGAGGGCGAGCAAGTAGCTCGGCCAACCACCTTGAGGGGTGACAAATAGCTCAACCAACCACCTTGAGGGGTAACAAGTAGCTCAGCCAACCTACTTGAGGGTTAGCAACAAGCTAAGTCAACCACCTCGAGGGGTAGCAAGTAGCTCAGCTCACCACCTTGAGTGATAACAAGTTGGTCAGCTAACCTTTTTGAGGGCGAGCAAGTAGCTCGGCCAACCACCTTGAGGGGTGAAAAGTAGCTCAGCCAACCAAATCTAGGGTTAGCAACTAGCTTAGTCAACCACCTTGAGGGGAAGCAAGTAGCTCATCCAACCACCTCGAGCGGTAGCAAGTAGCTCATCTAACCACCTTGAGGGGTAGAAAAAGAGCTACGTCAACCAACTTGAGGGGTATCAAGTAGCTCAGCCAACGTACTTGAAGGTTAGCAAACAGCTCAGTCAACCACCTTGAGGGGAAGCAAGTAGCTCATCCAACCATCTCGAGGGGTAGCAAGTAGCTCAGCTAACCACCTTGAGGGGTAGAAATAGAGCTACGCAAACCAACTTGAGGGGTATCAAGTAGCTCAGCCAACGTAATTGAGGGTTAACAAGTAGCTCAGCCAACGTACTTGAGGGTTAGCAAATGGCTCAGCCAACCATCTTGAGGGGTAGCAAGTAGCTCAGCCAACCACCATGAGGGGTAGAAAAAGTGCTCAGTCAACCTCCTTGACGGTTAGCAAGTAGCTTAGCCAACCACCATGGGGGGTAGCAAGTAGCTCTGCTAAACACCTTGAGGAGTAAGAAGTAGCTCAGCCAATCTACTTGAGGGCTAGAAAATTAGCCCAGCCAACCACCTTGAGCGGTAACAAGTAGCTCAGTCAACCTACTTGAGGGGTAGCAAGTAGCTCAGCGAACCACCTCGAGGGGTAGCGAGTAGATCATCTAACCAACTTAAGGGAGAGCAAGTAGCTCAGCTAACCACCCTGAGGTGTAGCGAGTAGCTTAGGAGATAACTTTTCACCAAAAAACACAATTCTTGAGGAGTAGCAAGTAGCTCAGCCAGCCATATTGAGTGTTAGCAACTAGCTCAGCCAACTTACTTGAATGGGTAGAAAAATAATCTTTTTCCGCAAAACCGGTAGGCAAATGGCAGTCACTTCAATTTAAATTTTTAAAAATGTAAAGCGCATCAGGAGTTTAGCAATGAGATGGAAACTGGCAGCGGTGACAACAGTGTTCAGAAAAGGAGATAGGCGTAAATACACAACTACCGACCTAAATCACTCCCAAATCTTATGAGTAAAGTTTTTGATTTTTGTATCTATATTGAACTCGACAAGCACTTTGCAGAGCACTCAACCTCAAGCCAGCATGGTTTATCAAGAAACGCTCAGTGGTCACAAATATGCTAAGTTTCCTCAAGAAAACTCACAAAGCTCGAGACGAAGATTCATCTTGAGGGGTCTTCGTTTTTTAGACAGACTTTCGATAAAATGCCCCAGAGGCGTAGAGGGATGCTTAATTGATTTTTTGCAAGACTATCTTAGTGGGCAAAAGTAATTGGTTCGTGTAGACAACACAAGTTCCTGTGTACTGGAAGTGACAAGCTGTGTACCAGAGGGCTCTATTAAATTGACTCACCGGATGTAATAAAGTTTAACGACCCTTACTTGTTCGTTGATGAAATAAAGATTTTCTCCGTAAACAAAAGTTATGTATTGTACAGTTAGACACCTATTGATACCTAGTTAGACAGCTCTTGGTACAATTGATACGTGATTCAGCAAAAACAAGGTGGTTCTACCAATGGATAAGTTTTCAAGGATTCTCTTCAGAGGAATTAAGTTATTTTTCACAAGGTGCTGCCCTAGAACAATCAGACGTTATCTTGTCTAGGTTTGCTTTGAAACAAAAACCTGGACTGGCATACGCACATAGAACTGAGATCGAAGAAAGCTATTAGTGCTTTCTGTCTCCTGAAAAGGAATGTTTCGTACAAATTGAAAACATCGTGTAAAATGGGCCTGTACAAAACTTTGCTCCTTCCGGTTCTACAAAGTACAAGCAAATCACTACGACATAATTGGAACACCTTCGTAGCACCACCTCCTTTATTTGGCCAACATCTAGATTGTAGCCGTCTATACAAATGGGCATTAAAACAATTCCAATACAGACACGATATGCACAAAGATATCCAAGAATTAAAGCTTTACAAATTCTAAAAAATTCTGCTAAAGAACTTGAAAAATTTTTTTGAGTTTTTATTTGATTTTTTTAAGTCATTTTTCTACAAAACCTTTTCCAGTTTTACTATGCTGTCAAATATTTCTAAGTTCAGATCTTTTTATCACATCACGCAGAAAAGACACTAGCTTGAAAAAAAAACTTTGTTTTTGTATTTTTTAAGACTATGGTCGGAACATTCTGTGCTACTTATTGCATCATCAAGGTCACATGCAGATCAAAATTTGTGCCTACCGTTGGTTTTGGTTAGGAACATCATCGTATAAAGTTTAATTTTAAAATGTTATTTATTCGAAGCAAGCTACAGATTAGTTGAACAGAAGCGAACTGTATGCTTTTCTTAACGCCATACAAATCAATGCTTGGTTAGTTTTTGTGTGTTGGTAGCATGGGAAGTTGCGTGATGTGGTGAGGGGACTGAATTGGCCCCAGATTAACCAGAGTATCCAGAACACTCTCCTCCTCCACGACAGCTTCATCAACCTAGAGATACACGAGATAGAGGAGGTCAGTCAGGCACATCCAACCCTATCCCCCTTTCCATCCCCTCACTCTGTTATCCTTCTCCCTTTCCTAACTGCAAATCCGAGGTTAATAAGTCTATATTGGGTTAAAAGACGCAAAATTCATCATTTTTGAGTTTAAAATGTGGGTGCAGGGAAAGTTTTCTTTAAAAAAATATATTTCAATAATTTTAAAAAGTTAAAAGAGCTGTAAGTCCGTTTACCTTTTTTTGAAAAGGTTTTTAAAAAGTTCGATTTTTATTGGCCCTTCTTGTTACTTTTGGTACTGATGCTATAAAGAGACTGGTTATTTCGGATGCCATTGGTCCGTAAGCCTCGTTACTTTAAATATATACAGGATCATATACATGAATACTGGGTGGTGTGATGTGTGTGTAGGTGTTCGACCCTGAGCAGCAGCAGTGGCTGGACCAGCAGAGACAGGCGTACGAGAAGAGCATCAGCAAGACCCTGCAGCTGAAGGAGTGTGCAGTGGTGGTGGTGAAACCGGACGCCATGAAGAGCATGGCCGACCAGGACATCACGGACATGCTGGCAGAGGCCCACTTCATCACCATTGGCTCCGAGGTGCGGCTGCTGGAACCAAGTGATGTGCACTTGCTCTATGGCACCAAGGACAAACCGGCAAGCAAACCATCTACTATACTCCCCACAGAAATTTCATTGCTTTCATTAAAATTTGATGGTTCTTTTTTGTAACGTCAGGGCTTACATTGGCCTTAAAAATTGAAAAAATTGTTCAAATGAATATCCAAGATTATTTTTTTCAATAATTTGATCACCACCTAGTAAATTTTTTGACCACCTAGTTTTATGGAATGATCTGAATAAGTGGACGTTTTCATCTTGGTAAAATTCACTTCTGCTCAAATCCAAATTACTGATACTTTTATTACAGTTTAATAATTGGTTGAGAGAAATACATTTTCGACTTTTTGTTGATTTTGTTTTCTATGGTCCATAATCAGTCATATTGATGGCCATTGCGTGTTGAGGTGTCGGAGGAGGTGGTGGAGTTCATGACGAGTGCACTGTGTCACATCATGGCAGTGACGAGAGGGGGGAGGGGAGTGGATGTGGTGGAGGAGTTGAAGAAACTAGCAGGGCCAGAGGACCCCCTCAAGGCCAAACAGTCCAGTCCCGACAGCATCAGGGCCATCTATGGCACAGACAGCACCCTCAACGCAGTACACGTCAGCAAGACTATCAAGAAGGCAGACAAGTAGAACACAATGTTTTGTATGTCCTCATAGCACCACACTATCCTTCTAAGGCCTCCCAACTTTCTAAGACTTACCTCTCCCCAAAGGTGCATATTCTTATCCCAATGCCCTAAATATTCCCAAATAAGACTGTCTCTATCTGTAATTGCAGTTTTTCTTTGGTCTTTGCACACCCCGGAATATTTGACCCCGAGTGTAGATAGTGCTGATTGTGTGTGTCTGTTATTGTGTGTAGGGAGGTGAAGCACTTCTTCCCCAGACTGAAGAGACCCCTGGAGAGTGAGGTGCGGCTGGGGGAGTTGGAGAAGACAGTGGTGTTGATCAGACCAGACGCCTACAAGCAGTTCGGCCAGCAGATCCTGTCTGCCCTGGAGGGGGAGCACAAGTTCGTGGTGGAGATGAGGAAGGAGGTGCGGATGGGGGAGGGGCAGGTGGCGGAGTTCTACAAGGACAAAAAGAAGGAAATATACTACAAGAGTCTGGTGGAGACCATGGTCAAGTTAGTCAACCCTACTATTAAAACCCCCTTGGCATCTCACCATTCTAAATTCTGTCGACAATCGAGTATTTTCTCATTAGACACTAATACTTTTTATCTCCATCAATTGATTGCCAATTCTAACAAGGTTCTAGAACTTATATGCAAAATAATAGCGTGTTTAGGGTTGTTAAATTAAATTAAAGATTATAATCGGTTTTCATTAATTCTGTTTTCTTTCAATTCTTCTTTTTTCGCTCATTGTATCGAACTTGAATTACGACGAGCTAATTACACAATAGATGATATCTGATGTCCTAATATTGACCTTGACTTTCGTATATCGTATAGGGGTCCTAGTCTGGTGTGTGGTCTGGCGAGGGAGAATGCGGTGGAGCATCTGAGACGCATCCTGGGTCCCTTCATCCAGTCGAAGGCCAAGAGTGAGCAGCCGGACAGTCTCAGATCTAGATTCGCAGTGGACCATAACACTGGTAACAGTCTGCACGCACCCCTGGATGCGAAGAGGGCCCAGTGGGAGTTGAACCACTTCTTCCCCGTGGAACACACCATGGTCATCATCAAACCCAACAGAACTGCCAGGGCACAGAAAAGTACATAGCATAGCATAACATAAACACGCAAGCCCACTCAGCATAACATACAAGCGGGAGAGTTGCTCTTCTCTCCACCTCCCCTGTTCATGGTTGTCGTAAGTAGTATGCATATAGTGCGTTAGGATCGGGGGGGGGGGTTGTCATACATGGATGACCATTAGGTATAACTCATAATGGTCACCATGTATTAAATGATCAGCAATGGTCACTATGTAATAATCCTAAATGTCACCATGTATAATTTTATACCTAATGGTCACTATGTAATAATCCTAATTGTCATCATGTATAATTTTTTACCTAATAGTCCTCATATAAAACTTCGGTATATTATTGAGTATTCCCACTGAACGTTGTGGAAACGGGAATGGAATTAAGTTTTGGTCGGTGCATGTTTTCCCTTCTAAAGTTTGGGGGTATTGGCTTGTTTACATGTAAAGTGACGTTATATACCTATTATATGCGACCAAACTATATGGTATATAGGAAAGCACAAGATTTTGACAGCGTAGCTTAACTGTTGGCTGCGGTGAACGATTTCCCTCAAAAATGCATGTTTTATTGCTGAATCTCGAAGAAAGCAAAATTCGTCAAGTGCGGCGGCCGCCACCTCTATTTAGGCAAAAATTAATAATCAATTTGACCGAAATAAGAATGAAAAATTTCGTTCAGCCAAATGAAGGTAAAAACAAAGAAAAAGTACGAAACACTGAAAACTCTAAAACAACGAAATTGGCTTGAAAATTTCGACATTTCCATTTTTCGTGTCTACAGGAGACTTAAAAAACGTCTAAAATCTATGACAAAAGCTTTGATTTTTTAGAAAAGTTGAAAGAGCTAATAAATTGAATTGGGTAAAGATCTTGAAAAACGAGAACACTGATGAAAGCCAAAAGTGCCCATTAATTTTGCTGCAGCCATTTCTAAGACTTGCATATACGACTTTTTATAATAAAAAGGAAACAATTTTCGGGGCTTCTAGAAAACGTTTACTATTTCCTATTTACTTTTTTGTGCTAACAGAAATTTTGAAAATATTCATCAAAGCGGACCTAGAAACTGGGGGAAAACTGTTATTTGTGTGCCAATATATACGACAGAACAGAGTGACCATCGAATAAGGCAGGTGAAAACTTATTTGCGACTTTTAAGGAAAGCAGTTATTCAAATTAGAGCAAATTCAATCGGAAAAGATTGAACACAAACTAAGACAAGTTATGGATACAAACTCAAAACTTGATATGAATTCGGAGTTATAATTTGAGCATCCAAAATTTTTGATTTTTCCATTAAAAGAATTTGCAAAAACTAATTTTTAATTTTATACTACAATCTAGTCATTTGTTCTCAGTATCTTCTAATTAACTTAATTTGGCTTTAGCAAGAGCTTTTTATTCAAAAGTTTGAAGCGCTATCAGTTATTATCATTGATTAACCCTCTGCTCAACAAATTATATTTTGAGTTTTTAAATATAAATTTGATCTTTTGAATGTTTCCATCATTACGCTGTTGTCTCTCAAAATACAGTGGCTTTTTGACCAAAATATTCGATTATTCATCTGCAACTAATTGTGTTATCAAGAGTTCAACCTTTCTTTCAATATATGTTTGAGGTCATCCAAGCTTTCACACTCACGTTCTCATCACTAGCAGTATCAAAACAGTTCGCATCATAATATTTCTTCTCATTTTTGCATCTATATTTGTCTTTTGTATTAACAAAACATGTCTTTGAAAAACGGTTAGTTGTTTGAAATTTTAAGATAAAAAATCAAGATTCCGTCAGGATGATAGCTGTTTCACACTAATCAACGCTTTCGCACCAAATTGGCTACAGCAGTTTCCGAAAACTTGTAAGTGCCATTTTGTAGTTTCAAAGCCTTTCGATAAACTTCAATTATGTTGTGTTATCTTAAGCTAGAACGACTAACAAAGACATGTTTAATTTGACAATAAAAAGTTTGTTAGACAGTTTTACTTTGAGGAATTGAAATTTTGAGCCTCAATGCAGAAAGACTTGCTATTCATTTCAAAGAAAAAAAGGCGTAAGCTTTTTGAGCTATTTCATAAAATGCTCTACCGACTAAATAAATCTTGAAATTAAAAAAAGTGTTACTGACTGTTTATCTGATTACACAATTGCTTCACTTCTGTGGGTTTATAACTTTGATTCAAAATTATGATTTTTCAAATGAAAACCATTGAAAATTTGTGGTTTTTAGAGAATGATCAATCATCCTTCAAATATACAGTACCTGTCACTGAGACTTTGCTCGCTTACCGTCTTCAGCTCTACCAGTCGCATGTCTGCACGATCAATGATTTTTCTCAATAAACCATAAATTTTTTCTAATAATTTTCTTATCGCAATTTTTACCTCTATGAGCAACAGTTCATCAAACACTTTGGACTCCTTGCTGTCTACAATTGGACTTGATGTTTGATGCTTCCATCGACAAAATTTTGTGAAAACTTGAAAACTGATCTTTCTTGTTACAATTTTGAAACATTTTTCATAATCATTGACTGCAGATAAATTAAAATTATCAATGCAACATATGCCACTTTTTCAAAGTTAAATGTTCATAATGAGGATACATGGAAGATCAAATATTTCGAGGAAAACTTTTTTAAAAAAATTATCAAATTGTTTTGCCCATCAAGAAATTGAAAAAAACTGTCATTATAGTGTCTGGTTGATTCTTCTAGAATATTCGAGAAACTTAGGAAGAAAGATACGAAAGATTCGGATTGAGTTACATATATACTTTTATATGAAATAAAATAAACGATCACATCTAAACTCAAACATATATACCCCACCAAACATTTAAAGCTGCATACTTCTAAACATAAAAAACATAAACACATTTTCATAAGTTCCAAACTTAAATGCATACTCACAAAAAACAGTCATGCGTATTTTATTACAAACATACGTTTATTCATACACATTTTAATACTTACATAAGGTTAATCATGCAAACTTACATACAAAAACAGTTACGTACCAACTTACTGAATACAAACATACATACATGTATACATAAGTACAAACTTACATAAACACATACATACATGCATACAAAGATACATACATACAAACTTACATATATACATACATATATAAAATTACTTAGAGACATTCATACAACCATACGTACAAAATTACATACATATATGCAAAAATACTTCTATACATACAAACTTTTAAAAATGAAGTCTTACATAAAGGTATGAATACAAACGTACATAGTCGTATACATAAGAAGAATGCAAATATACTACCATACATACATAAATTTTACATACTTGCTTACATGCTTTTAAACCTGCAACCAATTATACGAAAATTTTGCTTTTACACATGCAAAGTTTTTAACTTAGTTTTTCTGCTGACCTTTACAATAGAATACAATACATGATTAAACACATTTATACATGCAAAAAGTTGTACACTTTTACATAGATACATACAGTTTACATAAATAGACACACATGCAAGTTTTGCTCACATACATGCAAACATTTCACTTATTAGTTCTGGTGACCTTTAAAATACAAGCACATGTAAACACACAAACCAACTTGCATTCACTTCACAATTTCAAGACAAATTTATACACACATTCAGACAAAAAGAATCACGCATTACTGACTGGCATTCACATGTTTTTACATAAAATCATATAAACGTGCCTTTCATACTCATATACGAATATGTATAAGTATTTGCCTACAAAACGAAATGGAATGTACTTTGCAAGCATGCAACTCCTCATGTGTACACACTTTCCTTCTAAACAGACATGAAACTTCAATCATAAGTTTGTACAATTCGCAAACAAGCAAATTTTTAAATAATTTTAAACTGAAAAATATACATTGATACAAAATAATTCCTGGTCTTCGTTCACTCAATCAAGCGGACATGCATTCAAGAATTCCTACTTACATAAAAACATACAAATATACATAACTTCTAATTACTCAAATGAGTACACACAAATAGTATGTACATACATGAATAATTATATTTATACATGCAAAAAAATGTACACTTTTACATAGATACATACAGTTTACATAAATACACACATACGCAAAGTATCTTGTCTAATTTTGAAGAAAAACTAGAAACATTAGTAAAATGCAAGTTGGGTTATAGTTATTCTTCTAGTTACAATTGTTTTGGTTTACACGCGCATAAGGAAAAAAATTGTACTCATACTTTCAAACACATCAACTTGCATACATACACGCATACACAAAAAGTATTTTTTCTTGCATTTATTTATAGATTACTAGAAATATTCACACAAAAATATATTCATTTTGTTTTACGTATGAATATATTCAAATACAGTCAAACCTACATAAACGCTTTGATTTTTACAATGCCAACGTCGAAAGCAGAGGTTTGCAAAGAAATGCCAGCTTTCAGCCAACTCATCTACACCATTTAGCAATGTTGTTCATCTTTGAAAAATTAAAAAAAGAGCAATAAACAATTTTTTAATATGTCTGTTGATCTCCCAAACGAATTTTCCAACGGTATCAAACTTCAACTCAAAATTGACCAGTGAGTCATGAGAAGCGCTTTTAGTGGTCAGAAGAAAAAACCGAGGCTTACTAACTTGCATAACACGGGAAAATTCCAAAAAAATTGTTGAAAGTTTTTTGTTGGACGGTCCGAATAGAGTTTTTTGACATATCGAAAACTGACTTCAAGTAAATATTTAGTTTTGTACAGAAAATTTAAGACAGTGGAAGTTTTGGTTCGAAAAAAAAATTTAGCCATTGTTCTAAGTGTTTTTTTGATTCATTTGTTAGTTCTGTAGTTTAATATATCTTCAGTTGACGATTAGGCTGCAGGTTCAACCGTACACCAAGTTACATTGACTAGAGTTGCACATTATGTTGTTTTCTCGCTAAACCATTAAAACTTTTATTGTTTGAAAAAGTATATTTGGTTCTGAAAAATCTATTAAATACAGGTTCAAC